ATGCCATGGAATACTGCTCAGCCATAAAAAGGAATAAAATAATGACATCTGTAGCAACCTAGATGTTAGAGACCATTATTCTAGGTGAAGTAACTCAGGAATGGAAAACCAAACATTTTATGTTCTCACTTAAAAGTGGGAGCTAAGCTATGAGGATGCAAAGGCATAGGAGTTATATAACGAACTTTGGGGACTTGGAGAGAAGATGGGCAGGGGGTGAAAAATGAAATACTACACATTGGGTACAGAGTATGCTGCTCAGGTGATGGGTGCACCAAAATCTCAGAAATCACCACTGAAGAACTTGTCCATGCAATGAAACACCACATTATCCCCCTAAAACAACTGAACGAAAATAAAAATAAAAATAAAAATAAAAATAAAATAAAATAAAATAAAAAACAAAGGCAAAAAGTCATGGGGGAAATGGGCTCCACTACAGGGACTCCTGACAAAAGATTATTAATCTTTGTGTAACTGTTGACTTTGGCAAGAAACTTACTCTTAAACTAAGAGTGCTTTTGTTGGCCGGGCGAGGTGGCTCACACCTGTAATCCCAGCACTTTGGGATGCCGAGGTGGGCGAATCACGAGGTCAGGACATCAAGACCATCCTGGCTAACGTGGTGAAACCCCGTCTCTACTAAAAATACAAAAAAAGTAGCCGGGTGTGGTGGCGGTCCCCTGTCACCACGCCCAGCTACTCCGGAGGCTGAGGTAGGAGAATGGTGTGAACCCGGGAGGTGGAGCTTGCAGTGAGCCGAGATTGCACCACTGCACTCCAGCCTGGGCAACAGTGCGAGACTCCAACTCCAACTCCAAAAAAAAAAAAAAGAGGAATGCTTTTGTCCTTTAGATGTGGGATATCAGGATATTTCCTGGCTTTGTTAAGTTCTGGGTCTGTTTAGCAAACATTATTCATCTATTCCCTTAACTGTAAACATCTTGTCACCAAGAATGCTCATCCTTCTGGGAATGCAACCCAGCAGGTCTCAGCCTCATTTTATCCAGCCTCTATTCAAGATGAAGTTGTTCTGGTTCCCATGACTCTGATATAACAATAATTTTACAGCAATTAGTTACAAAAGACTAATGTATTCACCAACTAAGATCCCTCTGGCAAACTTTCTCTTATTTTGGAGTTGGCAAAAAGCATAAGATTTATGACCAGCCAGAAAAAGCAAAGGTATTATATTGTGGTATCCAGCAAGATAATAATTCTACAGATTTGTCTTTCTTGCTTAATTACATATGGAAAGCTTCTAGAACAGGTACTGGCACATACTTGGCACTCCAGTCAATAAATAAATTTTGAATAAATAAATTTTGTTTTCTAGGTGAACACTAGTATTAACAGAATTTAAGATACTTCCTAGTAAAAGTTACAATTTAAATCTTTTCGATTATACCATGTTTTTTGATTCTTTCCAGTATGTTTTCTTATGTTTTATTTGATCCTAACAGTAATTCTAGAGATGAATAAAGAAAGTGTGATTGATATATTTTGATAAATTGTCCAAGGTCAAGTAAATTTTCCACGATTACATAATTAACTAAGAAAAAAACTGTCACACGCACGTCCGTGTGAAGAGACCACCAAATAGATTTTGTGTGAGCAACAAGGCTGTTTATTTCACCTGGGTGCAGGCAGCCTGAGTCCGAAAAGAGAATCAGTGAAGGGAGATAGGAGTGAGGCCATTTTATAGGATTTGGGTGGGTAGTGGGAAATTACAGTCAAAAGGGGTTATTCTCTGGCTGGCAGGGGTGGGGGTCACAAGGTGCTCAGTGGGGGAGCTTTTGAGCCAGAATGAGCCAGGAGAAGGAATTTCACAAGGTAATGTCATCAGTTAAAGCAGGAACAGGCCATTTTCACTTATTTTGTAGTGGAATGTCATCAGTTAAGGCAGGACAGGCCATCTGGATGTATATGTGCAAGTCACAGGGGATATGATGGCTTAGCTTGGGCTCAGAGGCCTGACATTCCTGTCTTCTTATATTAGTAAGAAAAATAAAATGAAATAGTGGTAAAGTGTTGGGGCAGTGAAAAGTTTGGGGGGTGGTATGGAGAGATAACGGGCGATGTTTCTCAGGGCTGCTTCGAGTGGGATTAGGGGCGGCATGAGAACCTAGAGTGGGAGAGATTAAGCTGAAGGAAGATTTTGTGGTGAGGGGTGATATTGTGGGGTTGTTAGAAGGGACATTTGTCTTATAGAATTATTGGTGATGGCCTGGATACGGTTTTGTATGAATTGTAAAACTAAATGGAGTAAGAGAAAGAGAAAAACAGGTATTAAAGGACTAAGAACTAGGAGGACCCAGGACATCCAATTAAGGAGTGCCCAAGGGGGTTCAGCATAATTACTTGGCTTGGTTGGTGAGTTTTCAGGCTCTATCCAAGTTTTTGGGGTGCATTTCAAGTTGGGCTGGTGTCTGGAATGAGACTAAGGCCTAATAAAAAGGAGTGTCTATACAGAAGCTCAAATGGGCTGAAACCTGTAGCATTCCAAGGACACTTCTACCAACTTCTTTTTGATAAAACAGGTATTTTTAAGGCATCAGAATTTACTGTTAATTGAAAAATTTTCATGATTTTAAATAATCTAAGAACCATAAATAGCATTACCTTGTTTCATGAAAATAGTTTACAAAAATAGTACACTATATGAAATCCTCAATTCTTATTGATAAATATATAGTGAAAATAGAATCTTTATGGCTTGACGAAGCCTTTTTCTATCATTAAAACTATCTGAGAATAGGCTCTATTCATTAAGTTAGTTATTTAAATTAAGGAGATTCAAGTATTGATTATTTGTTTATCCTTTTGTTTAAAAATGAGTAACCATGCTCTAACTCCTAAATAATTTTGTTTTCTTATGTAATACATTAACTTTTATTACTCCAAATATGATACATGGAACTCAAGCTTTTATAAATAAGTGTTAATTACAAATAATATCCAAAGTCCATTGTTTGTAATGGTTTGTTAAATAACATTAAACAGGATTTTGTTGTTGTTGTTTCTCATTTAGATTAGCTTTGCTTCAGCTTAAATGAGAACAGCTTAGAATATTTAATATACCAATGCAAAGTGTGATGTCTAAAATTGTAGGTATAACAAACAGTATTTCCCTAATCTATTTGAACATAAAAAAAAGTTTCTCCCCTATAGGGCATCTTGAGAAATTACTGTTCATGGATCACACTCAGAGTTGTAATGGCCGAGGACTTTATCATATATTTAGCTAACTCTTCTGAATTAATGGTTGTACTTACTGGTTTCTGTAATTCATGGTTCTTTCACTATTTTAGATTGTTTCAACTATAAGGGAGTAAATAGGTAAGTTCAGTGTTCATGCAATTTTTATTAAATAAAATGAAAATAGGAAAAGCAAAAAGGGAATGCTAATCTACTTTTTATCTGGTTCATTATAAGGTAGTGCAAGACACCCTTAGATCAAGCATGGGATACACAGATATGGTTAAACGGTCTGGTTTACATTTGTTTACATTCAGAATTAAACAGAATGTGTTTCTTTCAATGATTTATAATTCACATTTTGTAAATACTATCTTCTATCTGTGTGCATCTATAATTACATTGTTAGATAATTTAACTATAATATATTACTCTAATGATTGTGTAGCCAATAAGCCCATGTGCATGCAGTGATAATTAGCTTATTGCGAAAATACAGAAGAAAGGCAATCAAAATCCGCACATAATGGTCAACCAACTGAAGGGTCTTAATTATGAAATATTAGCCAACTGAGGACATGGTTTGGAAAAAGTTACCTTAGCAAAAAGAAAAAAGGAAACAAAGCAGATAACAGATACAAGAGGCATGTCCATGAGCATGGGCATGTCTATGAGCATACTATTATGATTCATACCAGATCTCATCATAGATGAGAGGCCACATGAGTTAACCATGATACAGCAGAAGACAGGATATGGGAAAGAAGATCTGTTGACTTTAGTCTTGGAAGATTCTACTTTGAGTGGCAATTTTAAAGAATATCAAGAATATTATATTTCTTTCCCTTATAGATCCAGTCTCACTCCTTGATTCTCCATTGGATGCTTGTTTACGTGTTCTCACATTTTAAATGCTGTATAAAGACCTTCCACTTTTAAAAACCATATAGACAAAGTGTAGAGGATAGGTATAACTACAAATTGTAACAAAAATATTGAATATTAATTTATGTAAGAATTGCTATATACTTTGATGTACATTAGTCTGTATATATGTAAAACTCATATACTTATATAAAATTAAAGTTTAAATTATAAAAATAGATAACTGAAGATTTGCTGAGGAGAGGTTGAAAAAAGTATAAATACTCTTTACCTTCTTGGGCTTCTCCCACAGTTTTTCCAAAGGCTGCAAAGCTATTATTTACGTCTGGTTCCCTAGAAGCAGACCTACAATAGGAAATTTTACGCTATTGATTTATTAAGATAGTGTTTTCAGGAGAAACAAGTAAGGGAGTGACGGAAGCAAGGTGGAGAAGGAGAAGGAGCTGCAAAGATGTGCTTTCAGGTGAAGACTAAGTTCGTTCTGATCCCCTGTGAACTGGGACCACAAATGATGAGACAGTTTGTCATTCCCTGAAGTCAGAAAGCAGGGCTTTTTGTGCACCTTCAACCATGGGTTGCAAGGTGGAGAGAGAGAAAGGGTGCACCAGTATAATACCCAGTCACTTTTAGGAAGGTGAGTGTGATAGTTAATTTTATGTCTCAACTTTACTGGGTCATGGCACACCAAGGCATTTGATTAAATGTTAATCTGGATGTGTCTGTGAGGCTGTTTCTGGATGAAATGAACATTTTTGTAGACTGAGTGTAGTAGTTTGCGGCCTTCCCCCACCACAATGTGGATGGGGCTCATCCAATCAGTTGAAGGCCTTACTAGAACAAAAATGCTGAGTAACGGGGGAAGTCCTCCTGCCTGACTACTTTGAACCGGGACATGTGCCTTTTTTTTCTGCCTTCAGACTCAAACTAAACATCATCCTTTCCTGGCTCTCAATCCTGCTGGTCCCTGAACTAAAACACACATTATCAACTCTACTTGTTCTTAGTCCTTTGGAGTCAGACTGGGACTACACCATTGACTCTTCCGGAACTCCAGCTTACTGACTACAGATCTTGGAACTTTTCAGCTTTCACAACCATGTAAGCCAATTCCTTTCTAATAAATAAGCCTCTCTCTATATATACATACTACTGGTTCTGTTTCTCTGGAGAATTCCAACTAACGAGGTGAGAAATGGCTTCTATAACATTAAATGAAAAGCTCCGGAAAATACTGGTCTTAGAGTAAACATTGTTTCTTATGAAATGTTTCCTGTGATTTAACCCCATATTTACTGTCTAAATTTATCTGTCTAAAATAATTTTCAGGATTCTAATTTCACTAAATGTTTACACAGGTACCCTATCATTCACTTTCAACAAAGCTATTCTATATACTAAATTGCCGCTGTGTTCTTTTTGGAAACCTAACATTTAGAAAAATCCAAAAGATGATCTATCTGTTACTTAAACCTGAAACACTTAAATCTATCTATTACTTAAATTTATCTATTACTTAAAGCTGAAATGCTTACTTTTTAGCAAACATTTACTTTGTTACCTATTTCTGAGAGTGCAAAAGCTTCCTTTGAAAATGAGACATAAAATCAAGAAATGCAACTAAAGCTTTAGGACTGGAAATTTCTTAGAGATTATCTTGTTCAATATACTTTTTTTCATACAAGTAAAGTGAGGGAGAATATGATGTCAGTAAGCCATAGGGGACATATGGGAGAAAACTTTTTACTTTACATTTTTAAGTTTTAACACCTTGATCAGCAATTATTTTTAGCTGGAGCTTAGTTTAAAGTCATTTATATACCATACATTTTTAATGTTGAAATCTTATTGCTTATGGTTCTAACTTCAACCAAAAAATGCCTCAGACGCAATTTGCCAGTAAATATTTTATTAAAAGAATGTATCCTTCATAGAGAACAGATTATCATGAACACAATGTAGTCATTGTTTTTAAGACAGTTTGTTACTACAAACCTTTGAAAAAATAGTAATGGTGGTTGATAAAAATATTGACATAGCCATATTAACACATTTCATCAGATATCCCTGTGAGGTCAGTACTTTCATTAATCTATTTTCATTAACATATGAGTAAACTGTGGTGTCTGAATTCAGTTATTCTGGCTCACAAAATGGTCTTATCAACTACTATATTCTTCTCTAGAGCAAACATATTATCAACACTGAAACTATTGTTTAACTCATTGGAATATACACTTAAACCATTTTCATACATATTTGCTGGAAACTTATATGAACTAAATACTATTTCACCACTTTTCTTGTTTTGGTTATGAAATAAAACAATGAAAAATCATTGGGTGTAACTTAGTGAGCAAGTGGAAAATCATGTACTTTGGTCCTTCTCTTAATCAGTGTGTAAGTAATAAAACTTGCTATTTAATATGAAGGTGATGATCTTTATCCACTGTCGAAGGACATGTATGTGGGGCTACTTTTGCTGTAAATAAAGGATTACATAAGCTACACTTATTATTCTTAGGAAAAAGTACAATGGCACAGAAATTAGGAGGCCCTGGGTTTAATTTCTGCTCTGTAAGTAGTTATCTGACTTTAGCCAAGCATTTAGCTCTATGAGAATCATTTTCCTCCTCTTGAAAGTGAAGAGGTAGGAGTTTTGACCTAGATCAGCTTATAGATTCTTTCTAGGTCTATTCTAACATTCTATGAGTCTATGATCTAGACCTCATTAATGGTCTGCTATTAGTACTAGTCATGCCCAAATGAAATATATTAAGTTGCATTTTGTATGTGATAGGTGCTGCCAGATTTTAGATTCGTACTTTTAATTTATATTTTGAGATCCTCTTCTACCTTCTCTATGCTTTTTAAGAAAGTTTTACTCTTAGAAAAGAAAATACATGGATTGATTGAGATCATTCAAAAATTTTTAAATTATTTTACAAATTAGATTATAAAGATTAAACCTCATTAATAAGAATAAATTAAATGTTTAAAGGTTAGAAACAGACATCAGATTGGACAGTATAGCAGTTCCCTATCTGAACTTGAAAGAAAAATAAAAGTATTATTATACTTTATCCATGTAGGAAAGTTATATAACATGTCAAGAGTGAAGAATGAGTTTGGAAAAGTTACTCTTCATGGCATTCTTTTACTGTGAACCTCGAATGGTGTGCTTGAGCCATTGGAAGCAGGCTGAAACAATTGGAAAACACTGAATTAGTGGGAGGTAAGGGCGGTATCTGCAACAGCTGAAGTAAAAGGAACTTTTCTGCAGAGTAAAGCAGCTTAGTTACAACCCTCAAAGCTCAAACGTCAATCCATTCCCAAGCAGGACAAGTGTGGGTGATATATGGAAAGGCTATTTTAAAATCCGCTTGAGCTTGCCAATCTGGAGATTTGCCCAGGAAAGAGAGCCTCAGAAAAATCACTATGCAAACAAGCAAATTTTATCAAATTTATGCAGAACTTGAGAGTCACAGAAACTAATTGGACAGAATCCCATCTAAGATTTCATCATTAATAATTACTATGACAGATAGTTATTTTAACTGTCTTTTCTCTCATGTCTGTTTCAATGACTTAATAAGTATGTGTATTTGTTTTGTGCAATATTATCATGGAAAAAATACTTTCCCAACATGTCCTTATAAAGCTAATTCTGTTCTTTTGGACCTTGCTGAATCTTACATCATTTTTCAAATATGGCTATGCTGTCAAATAGAAGTGGTAGGGACATTTTTTTCTAAAGTCAGAGCATTTCATTTTGAATGCTCAAGAAAATCACAAAAGCCAAGTGTTACTTTCTTTTAAAATAAAGGTTTGTTTAACATCTTGCGTTATGCAAAATATTTAAGTGACATTAAATAATTGTGAATACTTTCTGTAATATCAACAGAATATTTTTGTCCGCAAAGTGATGTCAATATATTGAGTGAAACACTCTGTATTAAACATAATATTAATGCTTATTGACTATGTATGTTAATGTCTTTTGCAGACATCAGTTGAATCACTATGACTTATTCTAAATGAGATATTTTTAATGAAAATGTATCACACAGACAAGCTAAGCCATTTCCAGGAATATTGTAACAGCTTCAAAAGAAGATACTATAGTGTTAAAGGGAAGCATATGATTCTTGATGTTAGTGCCAGAGAGCTATAGTTTTAATGTGTTGAATCACTACGAGTGATGACATGAATGATTAGATTTTGTAATAACAACTTAATTTGAAAGAAGGAGATTCTCTGATTCAGGAACTTACTAAAATTTCTCAACAAGTGATAAAGAATGAAAATATGACAAAAAAGTTTTCAGATAACCTAAAAAAAACTTCAGGTATAATGATTATTTTTGTAAGCAATAAGATAGATTTGAGTTGATGAAAGTACTCCAGATGGAGTGTAAGTAGTATTTCATTCCTGCAGAAAACACTTCATATTTAGTTATTGAGATGGTTATCTTAAAGACATTTATTTAAGATGCTAAATTGTGGCATGTCAAATTACAGTGCTATTTGATGACAGGTAGATCAACAAGATTAGGTTATATTTATTAACAATTGAGAAATTAAAACATAGTGGAATGCACAGCAACCAAATTAGGATAAAATTCCCTGAAGGTTTAATTGGCCGGTACTCTTTTGGAATATATTAATATTGATGCACTCACTTTAAAAGACCAGCATTAACACTATCAACCCAATCATCATAGATCACTGTTGATAACCAGACAGCAATTATTACGGCACATTGTCAGTGAAGTTATTATTTTAGATTATATGATGATGTGGCTTGGAATAAATTCTAACTAATTATAAGAAATTGAAAGAGGCAACATTCAAATTACAAATGATGTTTAATAAAAGGGCTCACTTGGAAAATGCTAGAAAGTAACCTCTTTTACTTGGCATCATTTAACCATCTCTAAACTTAATACAATGTGTACTTTTTTTTTTTCTCCAGTGAGTGGCATAGGACATAAATTTCTTTTGAATCAATTTTGTTTTCAAAACTTTGCAGTTAGGAATTGATTTGGTATGAAAAAAATATATTTTTTCAATAGCTGTCATTCAAACTTTAGTGAAATAATTTTATAATTGGTTGTTTAATGGCGAGCATTCAGCAACTACTATTACCATGATTAAAAGTTCTGTGAAGAAGGGATTGGTGTCTGCCATGTGAACCAGAGACCCAGCACCTACCTTACACGGTGTACAGTCCCTCAATAAGGAGTTGCTTATTAATGAAATGAATGCACAGGCCCATAGCTAGTAACTGGGAGGAAAGGGGATTCAAGTCAAACTTCTGACTTCATGTGCAGAGACTAATATGAATTTGTATGCAGCAAGATACAAGCATCCAATTCATGGATATGTTTCTCAATGAACTCAAACATTACTATTGAATAAACTATGTGCAAGATGAATAGCTTGACCAAATCAGTCTGTCATTCTTGTGGCATGATTTCATGGTTTGCTGTTCATGGAAATGCCTTTAAGTTATATTACATATGATTCCAGAGAGTTCATGGCTAGGGCCACTGATTTAATTCTCAGAGGAAAAATCAGATTTTCCAGGAAAACCTTCCTTTTCCCCCCCATAGTTTGTAACCTCAACTCTATATGAAAATGTCTGTCTTGTTCTAAATGAAATTTTGGGTTAAATGTGAGCAGCCATTAGGCTTTTCCATTTCAAAATCTGAATCATCAGTTGACCAACTGGGTCACTGTTAAATTATTTTAAATATTACTAAATCCACTTTTGGTTCTAAATTTATACTGTATTAATAGCAACCAAGTGATATACATTTTATCCCTTTTAATTCTGAAAATATCTTCCATGAGATAAACGTTAGCATCCCAACAGGAGAGATGTAGAAAATGAGACAGATAATTCAGATCAAAGTCTGCCCAATTTAAACAATTAATCAAGTTATTATTCTACAGTAAAATAAAGACAGTAATAAAGAGACGGATCACCCTTAATCAACACAGAATTAAACTACCTAGGTCCACTTATACTCAAAAATTTTTTCCACCAAACAAATAAAACCTTTGTGGTATGCAAACCTGCCTATACATAGTGCCAAAATTTTAGTATATATATATTCCACAGGCCGGACTGCGGGATTTGAGTATGCACCAATTTTGTGTTTATGTAGCATCCTGGAATCAATCCCCCAACTATACTGACAGACAGTGCACTATTGTTCATAGTAATTTCCAGATAGTAGACACGAGCAAAAATTACTGTACTAATGTGATTTGTAAGTTAAAAATAATGTATATAACACAGGCTATTGTTAGGGTCACTTAATCCAGGCTCCAGAGCCCTATGACTAGAGAGAAACACCTTGAGTTGATATAAAATTCCACGAATATAAACAAAAAAACCTAAATTGTCCCCGCTGCCGAATTAGGAGAACTCTTAAGAAATATTTGAGGTTTTACTTTTATGATTCTCTGAGTTATTGAGTCTTTAAATGTCACAATCTTTTCAAAATACAAAAATACAACTATGAATGTTACTGTATTAACTAACATAGTGTAGGTGGACTCCCTAGGCCTTTTGGGAGGCTTGGAGAAGCATTCTTATTCTATGCTGAAGGGGAGGAATGGGCAAGTGAGGACTAGCTTTCTTAGAGCTTTATTTAAATCAAAGGATTATGTAGGTTGTAGAGTCACACTAATAGATCAGAAATTTTTAAAAATTATTTTTTCCCTGTATTTGGCAAAACTGATACTAAAGAAAAATTGAAAATTTAATTTGTCACCTTCTTGGTGGCTAGGAGACATTTACTCATTTTCCCCAGTGAAATGTACCACCACAATATTTCAGTGTTCAGCAGGGCAAAAAAAGAAGAAACAGGCATTTTGAGGAATTCATACCCAGTAAATATGGCAGAGGTTGGCATAGACACTGAGACTGAGAAACAACTGTTGCGGAAGGGCTGGGCTTAGAGTCCCATATTCATGTTGTGCAATGCCTGTTCTGGAATCAAGCCTGTGAATAGTTTAGTGATTGGCTTAGATATTACTTCTGGCTGCATAATCTCTAAATCCAGTTTTCTGGCCCTCCTAGAATTTCCGAGGGCTATCTTAGAAACTTTAATACATTCTTCTTCCGTTTCACTTAGTTTTTCTCATTTTAGCTAATAAATCTAGCTAAAATAAGCCTGTCCTACACAACAGGTTTGTGTGTTAGAATAATAGTCCCCCAAATAGGTGCACATCATAATTCTGGGAATTCTGAAATCCCGAATGTAAATTTTCTTGGTAAAAAGGGATTCTGCATATCTGATGAAGATTACAGACTTCGAAATGGATAGCTTATCCTAAATTATTCAAATAGGCCCAATCTATTCATATACATCCTTAGAAACAAATTATTTCTGGTGAGTGCAAGAGAGAGTTAGAGAGATATGACAGAAGAGGCAGGAAATACTTTAAGCATGAGAAAGATTCCATTAGCTGTTGCTGACTTTGAAAATAGAAGAAGGGTGCCATGAGCTGAAGAGTGCAAGCAATCTTCAGGAGCTAGTAACGGCCTCAACTGACAACCAGCAGCAATAGAGACCTCAGTCCTACCCGCTGGATGGAACATTCTGCCAACAATCTGAACAAGCAAGCAAACAGAACCTCTCTTAGAGTCCACTGGAGTTCTGACCCATGGAGTTCTAAAACAATAAATTTGTAGTGTTTAAAGTCACTAAATTTATGATTATAGAAAACTAATTTAAGGCTAGAGCAAACTCAACAGTTCATGGATCAGTGTCTCACTGGTAATGGGACAGGGACAATTTCTATAAAACATTTGTATAAAGCCAGAAAAGGTGAGCTTGTTTCTGGAGACATTGATAGGACATGGACCCTAATTCGTAGTCATAAAGTACAAAGTTTAGAATTATCTATACTTTCAGAGTCTAAGTTATCAAGTGACAGGTGTGTATCTGGTTACTAAATTTATTTAATGAATTTAAATATTAATACATACTTCATTTTTAACGAATGTAAAATCAATATAAAGGCCTTTAAGAATTGGACTTAGGTTGATGGAAAAGCAGTTACCTAAAGTCTTGTATCTTAAAGGATGGTTCGTGGGAGCTTGTTTGAGTGCAGAATGTCTGATGCCACCTGAGACCTACTGTCTTAATTTGTGTTGCTTAAAGGAATATCTGTGGCTAGGTAATTGACGAAGAAAAGAGGTTTATTTGGCAGTTCTGTTGGCTGGACAAAAAGCATGATGCTGATGACTGCTTGGCTTCTGGAGAGGGCTTTTGTGCCACATCAAAATATGGCTGAGAAGATAAGATGAGAAGCAGGCACATGAAAAGAGGAGAAAACCTGAGAGGTATCCTGGCTTCGTAACAATTCACTCTTGAGAGAACTAATCCTGTCTCATGAGAGCCAGAATCACTCAATCCCAGGAAAATAGCACCAAGCTACCCATAAGGAATTCATCCCCATAGCCCAAACACCAGCCTCTAGGCCCCACCTCCCAACACCATCACAATGGGGACCAAACTTCAATATGAGCTTTGGTGGGGACAAGTAAACCATATCCAAATCACTCCAGATACAAAATTAGAATGTGCATTTTAATAAGATCCCCCAATGATTTTTTGCTGCCTAATGTTTGGGAAGCACTGATGTAAAGCTTGAACAGCAAAAATTGGAAAGATACCCAAATTAAATTTAAAAATCGCTATGTTATCACTGTACTAATCTTATTCTTAGGCATTCTCCATTTTGTTTTATCACTTATAAAAAAGGTATTATATACTATTTCATAGGGTTAAAAAGAAGATTTAATGATCAATGAAATTAGTAATTAGGTAATAAATGCAAAGCTCTCTGCAAAGTGCCTGGTCAATAACAAATGTTTATAAAATATAAATATGATCAGTATCATTTCTTAATAGCCCATTCCTCTACACTAGCCTTCCTCTTCCTGCTTGTCCAATA